CCCAGCACACACCTACAGTTCACAGGCACGGGCTGACGAACACCCACACGAGTTAACTTTAAACCAGCTGCTTGAGCACAACAGCCAAGGCAGCACAAAGCTTTGTGGGGGTGAACTCCAAGGATATTTTTTCCTGCCCTAGCCAGCAGGTAGGCTTCCCAGCCACAGCTCACTGTCACCATGGTGATGTTTCCAGCCTGCCCCAAAACAGCCACTTTAAGGCTAATTTGGATAAGCCTGCACTAGCTGCAGACATTTTAGTGACTGCAGCATAGACATACTTGTAGCAATGAAGGGTTTTCAGAAGGATTTCAAGACAGCCAGGTAATCTTTATTTTAAATGCGTGCTGACACTATTCCCACTGATGGAAGGAGGACAGGTGCAGGGGGAGTACAGGTGTGGGCAGCTTTCTTGAGTAAGGCAAAATGCAAGGGAGTGCTGCAAGCAGCTCAGATTGCCTGTGACTGATTTGATACAATGGCACAGACAAAACCACAATGATGAGGAATTTATGTCCTCAAATTTTTCTTTATATTCTCCTGTTTACTTAGGTATAGAGCTTCATAGGAAAATAATTTATTTCCTTATCTTTTGGGCACCACAGATGAGCTTAATTTTCCTAGTTTTTTATTAGTTCCTTATAGTAATATAAAAATAAGGTAATTTATTTATATACAAAGCAATTTCTAGACACAAATTAAACAGTTAACACAAACAAAACCATTATTCAATTTATCTGTATCTGAATTTCTTTCCACATTACCTTCTCTTATTCTGGAATTAGTACATGAAAGCATCAAGTAACAATGTCCTCTCATTCCCTTATCTGCTACACACCTCATTTGTACTCACTGCAGCACTACGGTATCTCAATAGCCTGAAAAATCACTTGACACTGCATATATTCAGGTTGCACTCCCTTGGAAATAAATAATTCAATGCTACCTATTCTATAAACATCCCCATCACAATCCCCCAGTAACCATGAGGATAAGCTCGTTTAATTGAAGCAGAGACCAGGCTTTGTATTATAACTGTATTATAAGGTCTGTTAAGAGATTCCCTTAACAGCTATAACAGACTGCTTAAGTAAGGTATTGTCTCTCTTCAGAGTAAAATATTTTTAAATAAAGATTACTTGTAAGAGCATTTCCTTTAAAAGATTATACAGTCAGATCAATCACTGTGGTCATGCCCATTGACACTAACCCAGAAGGCAGTATTGCTGCTTTCTCTTTAATGGGTAATAGGGCAGCAAAGATGTCTTCCTTTACCCTGTTAACAAGTCCAAATAATTCTGAAGACTTTTAAGACTGAAAGCTGCTTGGCAGAGTTTCCAAGTGGTCAATCTTCTCTACACTGCACTTACAAAAATAAACTCCTTTCCTCAAAAGACCAACTGCTCACATGCGCCATCTCAGCTAGAATTAAGGGAAGAAAAGAGGAGGTGCCATTATACACTGAAGAGCTGCTCCTAAAACCAAGTGTCAAACATGAGCTGTGTGCTACAGGGAACAAACACACAGCAGCTTACACACTTCTCAAACTGCATGCTTACTTATTGCCTACCTTAAATTTGTAGACGCAGTTGAGAAATGAATTAAATAATCTCCATGGAAATTCCTGATGCAGTGTTTAAAAGTGTTCTAAAATCCTGCAAAAATGTAGAAAGATATCTAAAGGGTGATGATAGTACAAAAGAACAAAATTAGCTACTTGAATACTACCCCTCGATGATGAAGAACCAAGAAAATACCAAGGTTTATCTTAAGGGTAGAATAAAAATTTATAACTCTCCTACCAGTTAACAGCAGAACTTGAAGTAAATGTCAGCTGAAATACAGATCGGCTCTCCCACAAAACCAGATTTTGCTGTCATGTGGTTTGTTTAGACATCAGGACTAGTAATTGAGTTACTAAGCTGCACTTGATGTACCTCACCTTTGCTACTACTTGAATGTGCTCATTTCTATACTTTAAAATTTTAACTGCATGGAAAATTTCTACAGCTGCACATTGATTTTGTGCCAATTTATTTTTAATTTGGTTTTTTTTTTTTTTCTTGTTTCATATTACAATTAGCAATTAGGGTCCTATTTTGCCTATATAATTTTATATTTGCACCTTCTTCTGGAAATCAGTCAACAGGCTGAATTTTACAACTAGAGGGTGCTGGTGGACCATAATGTGAGATGGTATGCAAAACTCTGGATGACCTTTAGTAGAAAGAAGAAAAATAAAAGAGATCAATTATTACTGCTCAGTAGGACAAGCTAATATACTCCAAGGTAATACAAATACTGCAATATTATCTAGTGTAAGTAAAAAGAAAATTAATACTTTATAGCTGATCCTTGGTTTAATTTTAAATTTAGTTTCAAATTTGATGTTAAACTTCGCTTCTGGCCTTAGTTTTTACACCGTAATGAACAAAAAACCCTTATCTGAACAATATGCATTCCTTTTGCTTCCCTTTGTTTGTGTGAGTTGGAAAGCAATTACAGTGTATTATTGATTAAGTGTTTTATGATAAAACACAAAAGCCATCAAATAAGCAGGAAAGCAAGGAGGGACAAAGATTAATTTAACAATAAAATCTATAATTGAGATTTTACAGATAGAATGTGGACATTAATTACAGATAAATCATTTAATAAGAGTTCTAACAAGAAAGTTATCTTCCAAAATTCATATAATTTCCAACACAAGGTAATTATTTTTTTGCCTTCCAGTATTGTAAGAAAAAATACAAGTATGAGAATAAATAATGTCTATAAATATACCATTCTGTATGTATAAAAGTTCCCCCTCCCATCCTTCCTCTCTTTCATTTATCCTTATTGCTTCTTAGAGTCTCTGACAATTCTGCAATTACCCTCAACTAATGGAAATATTAAAACTTTGAACTAGACCTTAAAGATATCATTTCCCTCAGCCCCCGTTGCACACAGCTCAATAACATCTTGGATTTGCCTTCCATTTCTTTGGATCAGAAAGAAACCCAAAGGACAAACTGTGGCCAGTTGGTAGAGTGGCTGCCAGAAACCCCCATGAGACTGGCCAGGAAGCTGGTGGAGTGTGTGTGACCATCCTGTGAAGAACAGATCTCTTCAACCCAAACATGAGTTGCTGCAGCCAGCCTGCTGATCACAAAGTGGCAGTGGCTTGAAAAAGCTCTGGGTGTGCAGGCTCACCCGATGTCCAGTGAAGGCAGTGTGGCGTGCCATTCCTCTTCTTACATTCACACTTTTGATCTTGTTGTTGCACATGTGGACAACATTCTCCTTGTGGGCAACTTCCAAGTGATCCAACAGTCCCCTTGTGGTCTGCATCAGCTCAGCACATCCAGGACATGCCAGAAATGTAGCACATTAAGTGGGATTGTTTGTTTCCACACTATGGAAGGTTAAATGTATTTAAACCAGTCCCTTCCTAGCCTATGAGGGGCCAACAGTCCAGATTTCCTTTTATGAATTGCCCTATTTTCATACTGTAACTAGCTGTGGTGCTCATCTCCCCAGCAGAGACGTGTATGGCACGCTCTCATGGGCTGAGGCCCAGTCCCTGTTCTCAGGAAACACACTCTACTCACATGCCTACCTACATGCAGCTTTCTTTTGGTTACATTTCTTTTCTTTTTCACATTTCCTTTTCTTTGCCCTCATGAAGGGATGTACCCTGGCATCCACAGGAGACCAAAGCCGCTGCCCTATGCACACCAAGGAGCTCACGTTAAGGTAGTCTCCATGACATAGAATTTCCTCTGGAAAACGGAAATCAGTCTCCTATCAGAACTACTTCATGCATAGGACCTTATTCTCCAAACTGTAGCAGCCAGATCAATGCGTTGGTGAGGGCAGCCATTAATTAACACATAGGCACACCAGGGCTCATGAGAGTCTCAGCCCCTTAGACCTCAGGACACATTTTCACTCCTACTGGTGGCTACGTGTTAGCTAGCACGCAAACAAGAAAAGGTGTCATTACTGGTGAAAATAGAATTTTGTCTTGACAACTGGTTTGTTTAAAATAAAAGCTTTCAAGGGGATAAACAAAACAAATCCAGTAAGAAGTGTCCAATGCAACAACAAAAAAAATTGTGACTTACATACTGCAGGCTTGCCAGATGCTACAGAATCTGAGCCAGAGGACAAACTAATGTAAAAATGCATAACAAACCTGATACTGAGCTGCATCTTGTGATGCCTCTCCAAAACTCCTGATACCTTTAGTGTAGAAAGAGGCCTGTTTGTTTTTTATACATTGTATCTAGTTTGTGGCTAAAGAAACAGCAGTTAAAATTTGCCCCAGTGTTTTATTCCCAGCATATTCTAACACACTTAACTGTGCCTGCTTCATGGACACAGTTGTTGGGGTTTTTTTCCCTAAATGAGCTGATTTTACAAAATTAGTAGTTCTCTGATCTTTATTTTTCCACATAGACAAAATCTGCTTACTTGATGCTGCCTTCACTTACAAAGCCTAAATAATAATAATAATAATAATTACACCTTAGCTTTTTCTTCAACAGTGCCAGCTGAAATTATACACGAACAAGATGTTTGGTGGGTATTTCTTTTTCCTCTGGAAATCAGCAGAAAAGCTGTTAAATACTACATATACTAGAATACTGATTTTAATAATACTCAACGTGCACATCAGTTTCATTGTCAGAAACACTTTAAATTTCTGTATGTTACTAATAACTGAAGAGCGTTATTCAGCTTTATAATGTAGTAGGCATCGTCCTTCATATATATTCCTAAAGCAGGATGTATGCTGTACATTTATATACAAAGTTGGTCAGAGCACAGACATTGCAGTGTCATGCTTTCATTCGAATTTCAGATGCCACATGTTCAGTACAATCGTACGGCATCAAGATGCAACATATTGCTTTGCAAATGCAAATAATTTCACACAGTGGCCTTCATGACTGGGAAGGGATAATGAAATGGGCTATATTTTACACATATGAAAAAAATAAATAAAAGATTTATCATAAATATATGGACCAGTATATGACGTTGAAGAACAAGAAGCAAAAAGGAAACAGTGCTCTTGCATAAAGATCGATTCTCTTTGCTGCTGATGGAATGACAGGCTTGGGAGGAGGAGGCTTCTTGTTGTTCTTGGCTTGAGATTTCCCGAGCCCATTGTTCACTTCAATGGGCTTCCCATAACAGTCATAATTTGATAATTCAAAATCCCTTGGCAAGCTTCCAACGATGCTGAAATCATTGGATCTCAGATCAGATTTCGAAGTGCAAACTTTTTTGCATCTGGTCTCACCAACCTATGAAATAAAGAGTGAGGGGAATCATGATCGACTCACCACAACTCATTAGCAAACTTCATGCAGCTGCTAAAGAACACTGCAAACAAACATAGAGCAAATTACTTGTTGATAGGGATACATTACATCAGACTAATTTGTGGAATGGTTATGTTATAAAGTACTTAAGGATGATCAGTCAATCATATCAACTAATCCAAACATTTATAATTGTGTAATTTTCCATGCACAAGGTGCCTCATGCTCTGCAATCTGCTATAGTTAGACTCCTTCATTTTAAGATGACAGAAGGGGAGAGAATATTTTTGTGGGGAGTATTTTTGGATTTTGATTCTGTGCTGATAAACCTGATATTATTCAATGTTTGCATTTTTCTAAGCTCTGAAACCCATAGTCAGAATTAGCTCTAAAATTCAATGTTTGATGCAATTAATTTCAGTTTATTCTGGTTCTAAAGACTTATCAGGTCAGGATCCTTTATCTCATCCTACAGTGACCATCTTGCATTGTACCTGTGGAGCTTAGTGCCTTCTAAAGACAGGGAACACAGATGTAACACTATTCTCAGCACTGCAGAAGTGTTTAAGTGTGAAATCTAAATCCAACAACAGAATTCCCGTGTTCCCTATAGCTCCTTTAGTGCTCTTGGGGAACAAGCAATAACTAAATGTTCCTACAGTCTCTTCCTTGGATTTTATAAACTTTTTATTTCAGATTCCACTCATCTCTAGGAGAACCAACCCCACACTGTTCAGGGAGCTTAAGTGATTTAGAGACTACTTGCAAGGCGCTGTGCTTTGTGACTTGGGTAAACCACTCCCAAATTTCCGTTTCAGTTGGACTACTCAGGAAAGCAGAGAGAAAAGAGAAGAAAAAAGAATACAGACTATAAAGTTGTTCACATATATAACCTTAGCTTTAGTTGAAAACTGATAGTTTTCAGGCTATACCCATGGGCAACTGACACAAATGTAAGTTTCAGTAAGGCTTCCTGGAGCCACTGGTCCACTAAAACTCAGTTATTCCAAAAGCTGCCTGTCTAAATGTAAGTTTCAGTAAGGCTTCTTCTAAGTGGAGCCACTGGTCCACTAAAACTCAGTTATTCCAAAAGCTGCCTGTCCCTTTTACCCATTAGCCTGTCTATCCTCCACAATGGCCTCAGGTATTTTACCCTCAGCTCTCTCCACCTCTGGTTTTCTGCAGTTTTTGGCTGATAGTTTGGGAAATTTGCATGGTCATATTTTGTAGCTACTAAAATAACAATAGTGTCATAAAATACAGTAACAGGTTTATGGATTAATGAAAAAATATTCTGAAGGATATTATTAGCTTCTCTATGACAGTGACAACATCTCCTGTGTGGAAAGAACTGAGGCAGTCAGGAAAAGACTTAAACTTTGACTGGGGCTTTTACTCCCATTATTGACAAAACTGATTCTAGTGAAAGGTGGAAAAAAAGCATGGCGCTATTCCTTCTGAAAAAGAGTGGATGCACCTTCCCAAATTTTCCAGAGTCCTATTTCTCATTAAAGCAGTACATTTTGAAACCAATGCATTAAACAGAGGTGCAGGTTTGTCCTGGTTCCAGCCAGGGAGAGAGTTCATTTTTGCAGTAGCCAGGAGGAGGTATGGCCAGGGCACAGAGGTTATTCTATATCACCTCATGTCATTGCCAGGGCTGGGGAAAGAGATTCTCTTCTGGCACAAAGATTTTCTTCTGGTCGACAAACGTGCAGAGGGAGCCATCTGGTATTGCCTATTGCCAGAGAATTTTTCTGTGTGAATAATTTATTTTCTTACACCTTTTGTTGTTATTATTGCTGTTAACTGCTTGTTTTTTTTTATCTCATTGCCATTTTCAGTAAATTTTTCTTATCTCAAACCATTATCTTTACCTTTTGTGCCTCCACTTGGAGCAAGGAGGTGGAGCACTGCATGGTTTTGGTGGGAGTACTAAATTGGAGAATACCATTTCTAACACACCACAAAATCAAGAGTCCAGGTTATAAAAAAGAAAAACAAGATAGGTGTTCCCTGATGGCAGGCAAAACTATACATACAAATCTCTTGCAACTGTCTCCCAGTCCTCAAAGATCTGACAGCCTAAGACAGCGTTCATTACTGGAGTAGCAGGGGCAAACTGTCCAGTAAGGTGGTGACTAAGACACAGATAAACATGATTATACAACCCTGGGTGACAGGATGCTATTATTCACCAGTCTGAGACATTCCTTCCAATCAGATCATATCCAATGACATAGGTAATAAAAGATAGAAAGCAGACCCTTGTGCAATGGAAAATGAGCTTGCAGGACTGGTGTACATGTTAACTGAAGAGTCATAGGAATATTAGATGTTTTCCATGGTGAGACCTAGCAAGATTTAGTAAGGCCACTACAGGAAACAGAATCGTGTATGAAATTATAGGCCTCCTTTTGGATTTGAAAACTTGTAGTCCATTCCTCATACTACCAGCAATATGTTGTAAAAATTCAGTGACACTAATTGTAGCCTAAATTCTCTCATTTATAGCACAGAATATTCCTGTTCCAACTGCAGTATCTAGAGTGCTCCCCTAAAGGCTGTTACAAGTCGGTTCTCATTCCCATTCAGGACTGAGAGTGGATTCTAGGTCACCTCTGCCTTATAAGCAGAGAACTGTTCACAGCATGTTCACACAGAGCTCTGCTTAGTTCAGTGTCAGCTGGAGTACTGATTTATCAGGGTGACACAATTTTCCTTGTATGAGCAACCTGGCCCAAATTTTTCTTTAGTAAGTATATGTAACTTTTGAAAATAATTTCATCTATTTCCTTGGCTTTACAAATCTGACATTCTTCGATTTACTACACTCAGCTGCTGCATAAACATATTTTAAAATTTTTTCTCATATATCTCTTCAATTCTCCAATGTTTCTGTTGTTTTAATCTAAATTCACTCCAGTTGACCTACAGCTTTCCTTAAACAATGTTAGATAATATAAAGTATATATGATTATCTGTTTTTTTATTAATTTTGTCTTGATTTGTGCTAGAAGCCTAACAATAATCCTAACAATGCCTCTGCTTCTCCTGACTTTCCACATTTACTGCACAAAAAATTTACCAACGGCTATAGAAACCTTTTCTGTACAAAAAATATTGTAGGACTTGATTTTAGAGTACTACACTGAAGGTGTGTAAAGAAAAGTAAAATGTTAAATGTTATATCCTTTTGACTATATCCTGACACAGAAAATATTTGATGTTATTTGCCTTATCCTGCCCCAGCATCATGACCTGTGGGCCAGACCCAACCCACAGGATGCTTCCATCAGATTTATGGCTTTTCCCCAGCAGGGGATGAGGAGCAACTGTTTGGGAAGGGAAGGCTTCAGGGATAGTGTAGGGACACCCTGCATTCCCAGGGAGCTGGGAACATCCTTGTCCCTCTGGCATGGATTTGGGGGGGGCCAAGGACACCACAGGAAGGTGATGGCTCTTGGGGCTTGGCCCGAAACACAAAGCTAGTTCCCTGTTTCTTCCAGGACTGGACAACCTTGTCTAGGTTTGGTATGATGGACAGAACACCTGTCTTTTGATGAACAGCTCAAAAATGCCTAAAAATGCCTCCTAGACTCCATAAGGCTCCTTGTGATGATCCTTTCTCAACTTTTAAATAATTCAGGCTGACTGGTGCTTGGTGCCAAGCTCAGCACCTGCTGCTGCTCCAGAGCTGCAGCATGTGTGCCTCTGCAGAATGCCTTTGGTTGCAGAATTAGGGGAACAATGTAAGAAGAAAATGGGGAAAGAGATGAAAGAATAAGTGCTGCCTATGCATGCACACTGGCAGGGAGGAGCAACTAACTCCCCAGCTCTGCCTCTGCTGCTTGTGGTGCTCCTCCTCACTTTCCACATTTATTGCCCAAACTAGTTACACTAGATTTTCCTTTAAAAACATGCAGGATGGAGAATTTTTTCCATGACCTTGTTCCTCAGAAACATATGTACCTTATTTCTAATCTGAATTTATTTGGCTTCAATGTTCACAAGGCATGACTATAGTTAGTCTGATTAACTGCTGGTACACAGAGATGGTAACGAAACTAACCTTGATTTTGCATAATTCAGATGATGTAATCAGGCTGACATATGAAGCCAAGAAAAATGTTCTTAAAGAGTATCTTACCTTTGCATCATTACCTCTGTCAACCTAATTGATAATATTTAAAAAAGTTATATTCAGTTTGATTAAATCAATAAACACACATATCAACTTTTATTTCACTGCCCCATTTATTAGCTAACATGGGGCTGAATTATGAGTAATATTAAAGATAATTAATACTTATAAACAATAATTATTAGTCAGAGCCCTGTAAGCTATGCAATATTCTCCACTGATTGATGTCAGGCTTATCATTATTCATGTTATTCCACTTAGCTTTTAAAAGTACTGGCACAAAGTTAGCTTCTCGATGTATTTTGAAACCCTCCCAGATTTAAAGGATTTATTAAAAAATCAACATTAATGTTCCACAGCACTCACAGACCAGCTTTGTAAAAAAATTCTAGACGCAACTTAAGCTGAAATATTGATTGTAAAATGTCTAACTTTAATAGTTACTGTTTAACATTCTCATAAGCTACTGTGAATGAGAACTATTTCATCCACACATTGAATATATCTGGCTGTCCCCTAGACATAGAGCAGAATATTTGTTCAATGCTTTTCTCTTTTCAGTAAATTCTTGATACTTACAGAACCTCTATCTTTACCCAGTATAGTACCATTACTCATCTTGCAAGGCATTGTATTCTTGCTCTGTACACAAAGTAAATTCCAATTGCCCTCAGTTATGCTAAGCATATATCTATTTTCTTACTTGCACAATTATTTTATTGAGTTCAGCTTATATTAACTGCTATCACCTCCCATTTGCCAGTGAGGAGAAAAGAGAAATGCTCAAAGCTGAATTAGTTTTAAATCTTTGGGGAATTTGTTTTCAATTATGCTGTTT